GTACGTGTGACGAAAGCTCAGATATCAGCAGAGCATAGCTTCAATTAAGCCCACTGCAATTTCCCCAGTTTCCTCAGCACTAAGGATTGGAATGAGGTTGATGTTTTTTGATGGCTTTCATCTTCAACTACTTTATCTTTTTATATAAGTTTGCACTTTAACATTGAATTTCTTGACCTTCGGCATTAAAACATCCCGATTCTACTTGAACATTAATAACCTTTTTTCGTTTAAAAATATTTATGATTAACAGGTTTCAAGCACCATATCAGGCACTCTATTGATTATAAAAATGAGAGGATATAAATGGAATTAATGATATATTACTAGAGACAGTTGTGGTATAGCTAATTATAATAGCTAATTATAATGTTACTCAAACTATCTATCAGAACTTCCCTAAAGAATATAAGAGTAAATTACCGAAATAAGAGTAAAATAAGGTGCAATAAAAATAAAAAACCTGTTTGTTTTTCATTTATTTTTGTATTTTTCGGCCCAAGACTTCCACTGAAGTCCCATTTAAAACGTAATAAGCATTCCATCTCCACAAGCGCGGACTTCGGGAGGGGAGAGATCGTCCCCCTAATAAAAATGTTGAGGGGGTGATAATGACTCAGGAGGCCTTAAATGTATTAATGCTTACCTTAAATAGTAGCTGAAGTAAAAGAAAAAAAAAAAAAAAAACTGTCTATGATAACCGAACACGCTGGAGCGAGAGTCTTAGATTATCCAGGTTGAAAAGTTGTAGCATGGATTGCCATCAGAGATCAGCTAATATTTATACCGTAGCGGTTCCGAGGAATAAATCTTCACAATCTCTTGTTATCCGTCAGTGGTTGGAAAAAAGATACTTTTCATACTTATGCCCTTATCTTCAATACCAGACACCGGCCATTAAGCCTCTAGCTAATTTCTGCTGCATGTTGCCTCATTTCACAAAATGAAGAAATTTCTCATAATACAAACAGTAATAATTTTAGACATTAAAATTTTCAGTATTAAAAATTTAATATTTACTAATTGTGAGTACGTTGCAGATGTTGCTGCTATTGCTTTCATTAGCCCTACTCTTTATCGTATGGTGGAAGTCCATCCCTTCCAGCAAATTCAGGGAGGCTGGCAGCACTATACCTGGGCCCAAAGCATATCCGGTGGTGGGCAATCTATTCAATTTCAAACTTACAGGACCAAGTAATGAATTTTTATTTCCATCTGCTTATTTTTACAATAAATCTTTAGAATAAGATTGAAACCCGATGAATTGCGTTGAGCGGTACGTAAACCGAAAATAGAGAGTACTTTGAAACAGATACACCGTCCGGATTAAAATAGCATTTTTAATGGTTTATAGTATATGGATTGGTTGAAGTATAATGTTTCACTATTATATACACAGACACACGATCGTGCAGTTACTACAGTGCCGGCCTTAGGGAAGCGCAACCGGGGCAAACGATTTTCAGAGGCACTCGCCCCTTGTTATAAATTTAAAAAAAAATCGATACGTCTTAATACAATTAATTTTAACCTATCAATAAAGTAACTGAATTAAGAAATATTGAATAAAATAAAATTCAAATATTACATGGTATAAAACTGCTTAAAAAATAAGTTTAAATTTTTAAAGGGAAGAGGTGACGTCATGTCTAAGGCAGGCATTAGGTTACTGCATACATGTTTCAAACGATGCAGGTATCCCCACAATCCTATTCGCTCAGGCTTCAAGCTATGAATATAATTTGGGAAAGAAAACGGCCTCAATAGTTACAATCCATGCACACATAATAGACATAGAAACTATTTCCAAACTTAAATTGTAATAGTAAATATCACCAGCGCCAGTTTTTTACCATGGCTCAATTATCGAACTAAAAAGTTTGACAGCACTCTTAACGGACTAAAATTTGTTTGCAGCATTCTTAATGGACTGAAAATAAATATTACTACTGTTAATGCAATAGGTGGTACGTAAAAATTGAGTTTTTTTTACAGAAGATTATAAAAACCGATTGTTTCTTTATGATTTATTAGTATAATTTCATATTCTATTTCTCTTTGATATTTTTCTATTTAGCAGACTACTTATAGCAGTTGTAGACTACAAAATATCACCTTCAGCGCAATGAGAATAAACTTGTAAAATACGACCTTTTGCCCTAACAGTAGCGATATGCTATACTGCCTATAAGTTTTACTTTCACATCTCTTTATATGAAAACATCTATTTCTACTCAGCGTGTGTGACGTTCTTACCTCCCCAAATTTTATTCACATAAACGAAAATGTTTCTTTTTGAAAAAAATATACTTAATGAATTAAATTAAAGGTGCATTGAAGCATTGGGAACGTTATACAAAAATCTATGGAAACACATTTAGAATATGGATTGGTCCACATCTTCAAATTTTCACCATTGAGCCAGATGATATCCAAGTAAGTGCATCATTGATTTACTGACAAATTTATTTGGGTCTAAAAGAATCATGAAATACATGTGTTACCTCTAAGTTTTAGTATTAATTTATACATGCTACGCATAAGCAAATGAACTATATTTAACAGATATATAAAATAAAAAGGTACGCTTTTATTCAAATTAGAATATTTTCAAATTTTATTTTTACTTGCACTTTTTACTATGTATGTAATATATAGTACTAGTTGGCCCGTGCGAATAATTCGCATCGCATATTTGTCAGTGAACAAAGGAAAATATAATATACAATAGATATGCAATGTATTATAAAATAGAAAAAAATAATTTTATTTTCCTCAGTGGAATCACATTATTGCATTATTGTGAATAAACAAAAACATGTTTAAATTATATTAGGCTGTGTCATTTGCTACTTTGCTACACTGTCCAATTTTGATGCTTTTTTTTCAGATAATTTATTACTTTGTCAACGAGTCATAGGTCTTTAGTTTATTTGATCGTACTAGTCAAGAGCTTTTCATATACTTTATGAGGCCACAATAACATATGTTTGCAGTAACAATTCTTTGGTTCACTTCCTAGTTCATGTAATTATCCCCAGTCACTACCAATTCTAAATATTGGGACCTTTGAACTTTATCGAAGTCGAATCTACCAACTTGGATAATTGGACCAGTTTGACAGCCGGCAGTTGTCGTGTATTTGGTCTTTTCCCCATTGACTTCAAGTCCCATCTTCACTGCTGCAGCCTCTAGTGAGCTGTAACCGTCCGTCATAGCTGTCAATGATCTCGCAATAATACATATGTCATTGGCGCAAGCTTTATTTATTTATTCACATTTCCTTGCCTTCGGGCAAAACGGGTATCGACAAATTTGCGAGGTATGCAAATGTTGCCAATTAACATCTAGCGATTAAAGCGATCACAGCGTCATGTGCTCGTTTCCTGGCGCCCTCCATCTTCTTCGCCTCCTCTGTCCGGTGGTCGTCCAGTAAATGGTTCTCTTCTTGGTATATTAAAATGAGCAGGGCCAACTGATGTTTTCCACCCGTAAATGAAGGACTTGAAGAACGGGCAGTTTTCGTCGGTCACCAACTGAGGGAAATCGTTCTGAGGCAGGATGCAGAGTCCAGTTGCCCTCAGAAGATTAGCCCTAAGTGTCTTAAAGATGAGGCATACTTATCTTAAGATCACGTTCGATCGTCCAGCTTCTTGATTTTCATCTTCAGTATTTTCGTCAAAAAGTTCCTTGAAGTATTCAGCCCATCTCCACATGATCCCTTCGTTGCTTGTTAGGATATTTCCTTCTTTATCCTTAATTCGCTTGAGAACCGGTTCTTTCTTTTTGCGCATGTTTCGGAGCATTCTGTAGAAAAGCTTCTGATTTTCTCGGAAATTATCTTCCATCTTTCCTCCAAAATCCTCCCACGTTTTTCTTTTGGCTTCTATGACTTTTTTTTTCACTCTCTGGCTTTGAGTTACGTATTTTTCGTAATCATTATGGGAATTCGATTTTAGATACTGCTTCCAATACATCTTCTTCCTGTTGACTTCCTCTTTGACCTCTTCATTCCATCATGCGGTTCTCTTTAGTCTTTGTCCTCTATTTATTTTTCCACAAGTTATTTCTGCTGAGTCCATCAGAAGTTTCTTGAAAGCTGACCAAGCTGTTTCGACGTTGTCCGGGTCCCAAGGGTATATTCCACTAAGACTCTTTTCTTCTATCATATTCTGATAAGCAGTTGCTATTTCTTAATTTTTTAATTTGTAGGTATTTATCTTTTGTTCTTTTTGATACCTTTTATTTTCTTTCCTAAGCAAAACTTTATTCAGGCTGATGTCCATCCTCAGGAGCCTGTGATTTCTGCCAATTTCTGCGCCTCTCTTGACCCTGACATCTATTGCATTTTTGATTTCTTCCCTTGGTATAAGAAAGTAATCTATTATTGATTTTTCATTTCGCCCTGGTTCCACTCTTGTATATTGATGTATTCTTTTATGTGGAAATATGCTATTTGCGACAATCATTCCGTTTGCGACACATAGGTTCAAGATTCGTTCTTCTGAATCATTGAGATGTTCTTCACCGTTCTTTCCCAATAAAATATATTATACAGAAAAATAATACAATAAATAAGAATAAAATAACCTAAAAAAATAAATGAATAAAAAGAACACATACATACCTATATGCAATATTTACAAACTGGCGAGAGAACTCCAAACCAGACTTGTCCTTCCAACTGTGGAGGGAAAAGCATGACTCCAGGAGATCCCTGCACTTCTCTCTCAACCGCGCCACTGGGGCTAAACCCAGTGGAAATTGAGCTAGAGTGCTTAGAATAAAAATAAAAGAAGAAGAAGAAAATAAGAAAAAAGTCAGGAAGTCAATTTAAAACACTAATATATTTTTTGGAGCACAGGTGGTTCTCTGAAAATACAGATACAAGTTTTACAGTTCAATTTTTTAAAATCTATTTTTAAATTATTGAAAGACAATGAAAAAAGTAATAATTAACTTTCGTTATAATTGTAAATATTGTTAAATAGCTACAGGATATTTAGATCATATTATCATATTAAAACAATGCTGTTATGCTATTATGGCTTTTAATAATTTCTCCTAGCAGCTCAAAAATGTGTGTGTATGTATTTATATCAAATAATTTTAAACATTTAATAAAATTATTTGTAAACTGTTCATATTTACAACATTAATTACAAGAAATGTAAAAAAAACTAACGTTAATTTTTATTGGTTTCTTTTAGACTATCTTTTCAAGCAAAATGTCAACTAAATCAAATTCATACAAAGCATTAGAATCTTGGTTAGGCACAGGACTTCTCATTAGTAATGGTATGATGATCTTCATGTATGTTTTTACTATAAATTAAGTTAATAAAATAAAATATTTTGTAATAAAAACAAAAAAATAAATAAATAAAAATAATTTACATCATTATTGATTAATTAATATTCTTCTTCTTTGGTTTTGGAGGAACACTAACCAAATAGAAATTAATAATTTAGCGAGCTTATCAAAATAAGTTTTCTTAACTTAGTTTTTAGTCCTTTTCAATGTTTAGAACAATTTTAAATTTTATTTAAAATAATCCCTCCTTCTTGACATAGCTCGGTAGTTTTGGAGGGAAAAGAAAAATCTTCCACATTATTGATTTTGAATCACTATTTTCATTGTTCATACTTATAAAAGTTAATAGGCAATAAGTTTTTCTTGCTTTAGTAGATATCTTATTGTCATTGTTTTCAGAAAATCACAGTAAATACCTAATTGAATAAGGCTATGCTCATAAGGAAAGACTAAAAGAATTAAAAGTGACAGATATCTTATAAATTTTTCTAATTAAAATTAAGTGTCTATTAAAGACCCATTTTAAAATTAATCTAAAGAGTTTGTCTTTTACTGCCTTCAGTACTAGATCTAAACTTGAATTTTTGATAGTCAATTACAAGGAAAAATTTCACTGAAATACATTGTAAAGAAACAAAAGTTAACTTAAATCTAATGTTTATTTAGGAAATTTGTGGCACCAGAGGAGGAAGGCAATTACACCTACCTTTCATTTTAAGATTCTAGAATCTTTCGTACCAATTTTTTACAAATGTGGAATAATTCTTGTAAACTGTCTTAAGGAAAAAGTTGGTAAAGTTCCCTTTGATATAACACCATACATGTCAAACTGTGCTTTGGATGTTGTAGCAGGTAATTTTATTTTTTAAACATTTGTCTTAAGAAGGTTCATAAATAATATTCCTATGAAGCGTACATAAAAAATTTAAATATATTTTTTTAAAAATGGTTATAGAAATATATTGAGTTATAATTGTATATATAATAACTTTTATTTATATTTAGTTCAGGTAATATCATGAGATTTGTGATAAGTGACCGCAGTTGTCCTTTTAATGTCTTCAAACTTATTATTTTTTACTTATTTCATAGAAACTGCTATGGGAACTGAAGTGAAAGCCCAAACTAATCCACATGATGAGTATCCAAAATCTGTTTTGAGGTAATTTTGTATAATATTATTAATTTATATTTGTTATCAGGCAACATTCATATAGGAACCAATTAGATTATTATTATTATTAATAATTGTACAAGAAGATTTTGTTCTTTCTGAAAAAATAAATGACTACTTGTAAAGTCCAGTGATAATCTTAATGTAATTCAAATATAAATCTTTGAGACATTAATTAACTCTTTAAAGGAAGTTATAAATAAGGAAATATAAAAGAATAATATGTATTTCTTGATCAGGAAAAGCAGCTCACTTTCTCTGTTAAAAATAGTTTCTCAAGCATACACAACTACTTAAAAACATGATCATAAAACCCTGAATAATTAATTAATTATTTATTATGAACATGGGACATTACTTTTGTAAATTTTCTTTTAATTTACAGTTGTTTTTCAGAATGACTAAATTATTGGCAGATAAAATGTACAATCCTTACTGGAATCTTCTTGAACCTATTTACACTCTACTTGGTAAAAAAAAAGAAGAAACGGATCTTTTAAAGTTACTATCTACTTTTCCTCTGGAGGTAAACGAATTAATAATTTGCAAGAAATTAATAACATATTCGTATATAATTTATTAAAACATATTTTAATATCTCATGTTTAATAGCTGTTGAAAAGAAAGGAGAATGAGAAAAATAATCATCCATCATCACGTGAAAATGGTCAGTTTGAACAAAAATGAGGTTGAATTTATTGAAATGAACAACAGTAAATCTGTTAACTTTATTTTAGGAGAAAACAAAAATATTGCTTTCTTAGAGCTGCTGGTTAGAATAAAAGAAACTAAAAATCCAGCTTTTAAAAGTGAACAGGACATTAAAGATGAGGTTGTCACATTCATGTTTGAGGTTGGTAATCAGGTGTAACCAACACAAAATATATCTATTATAAAGCATACACCATTCCAAAAATATTTATTTTAATAAGCACAAAATTAAAAATATTTCAAAATTACAATATATGAAACTTCTATAAACAATAAACTTAAAATATTACCAAATGTTTTAATACAGACTATATATTTTAAAAAATATAAGAAACTTTTATTAACTTTAAACTTACATTTAATTACATAAATTCCTATATTCAGGGTCATGATACTAGTTCAATGGCTCTAGTTTACACATTCTGGCTTCTTGGATTACATTCTGAAATACAGGTAATGAAAACATAATTTTATTTTATGAATAAAATTATCTAAAAAAAATGCTGTACTAATTTAAGAGAAAGTCATTTAGCTTAATAATATTTCTTAGGAAGCTTTGTTCCAAGAGGTGTCTCAGACTCTGGTGGGAAAAATACCATCCATGGAAGATTATCATAAGATGGACCTCTTAAATCGTGTATTGAAGGAATCTTTGAGACTTTATTCGCCTGTCCCATTAGTGTCTCGAATGATTACTGAAGAAATTGTTTTACCAGGCAGTATGTATTTTATCTATAAGTCAAAGGTTCATTATAGGTTCCACAGTTAAGTTAAAAACATACATTATGGTTGGTTGGAAATAGCAAACTGAAGAGTAAAGTTTATTACATAGATTAATTAATTATCATTAATTTGAACAATTTACCTCAGTACGGATTTTTAAAAAGATATATATATATATATCAAAAGTCATGTAGTGAGATTCAAATTCAATATCGCTGAGGTTGGTGCAGAAGAGGAGGATCCTTGGTTTGTAGTTTATGCCCTTATTATGATTAGAATATAGAGCAATATCAATACCTGTATAAAAACATCATCACCTTTATCGAGTTACATGTGATAAGTATCCCATTTCATTGCATCTAGATGATTATTCCAAGGATTAAGATAGACTCTATGTCGTCTGAAAAAAGTCCTGAGAAAATTTACCAGATATCTGTATCAAAATCTTGAAACAATTTTTCCTATCTTAATCTTTCTTCCTAGCATCCATGTAGTTTTTCCTCTATCTGATAAAAGCAAACCACTTTGTAGGAAAAAAAATATATAAAATACTAGATTCTTTACATATACTCAAAGACAAGGATTTCTAACAATATTGTCACTTTCCTTGTCAAACTATAAATATTTTTTGAGGGCAATCTCCTTTTGATGTTCTGTTATCCTCAAGTATACTCCTCTAACTTATTCATGATTACTAAATGGAGACAAAAAATATATGTGTTGGTTAAATACAATTATTTTGATTCATTATAAAATACAATAAATTGCAGGTGGATATAGATTACCAGCAGGAACACAGGTTGTGGTGTCAATGTATTCATTGCACAGACGAGCAGACCTCTTTCCGGAACCAGAAAAATTCAACCCTGACAGATTTCTTGAACCAATAAAACATCCTTTTGCCTATGTGCCATTTGCAGCAGGTCCCAGAAATTGTATTGGTATACAATATTAATTATTACTAATTAAATATAATAATATTAATAATTTTTTCAGAGATTTGAGTTACCTGCTGTACTTTACTTATTGAACTCTGTATTAATTATTTTTTATATGAATGCTATGATTTCATTATGATCAAAGTGTACACAGTAAACTAAGGAGATGGGTAGCTCAATATGTAAGCACTGAATTTCAAAGTTTGAGGTCCCAGGTTTGAGTCCGGCTAATAACAAGTAATTTTTAGTCAGCTGTGGATCGACCCTGGTGTCAGAAGTCATCCCTGGGGCACAACCAGATTCTAAAAAGGGGGTGCCCAAATAATTAATTAAGGGGGGAAATCTGGCATTTGAGTAAGACACGGCCTGATCATCTTCATACACAACCGTTGGCCTTGAAGGAGTACTCCCTTACAAATTACTGAACCCAATACCCTTCATGGGTTGTTACAGGTTGTTGTTGTTGTAAAGGTTTTTACAGTAAACTAAAACACTTTTTTAATTTATTTAGAAATATAAATTATTTTTATTAATGAAAGAATAGCAACTATTGGTGATTTTAGCCAGAACTAAGTCTGAAAAAATAAAAAAATAATTAAATCTTTTCCAATTTAGGACTAATAAAGTTTAAATTGTAATGCAATAACTTGGTCCAGTTACTGATAAATATTGTGACATTTACTTATATATTATAATAAATAAATGACCTCAAATGATAATCTATTCCTTATCAAATACCAACTGGTAATGGAACAGATCCGAAAAGTCTTCCAGATGCACCATTAGTTCTGAAATATTATTATCTTTGAATTGGTGGTCCAAGCAACTAAAATAGTAAACTGCTTTTCCATACTTATCTCATTGATATGTACCTTTTTTGTTCTATATGAACTGAAATTTTACCAATTCACATTATTCTGTATTTTTAATGCCTAAAAGTTATGCTTTTGATGTCTATTTATACCATTATTTATATTTAATACAATGTCTTCTATATACAGGTCAGAAATTTGTAATGTTGGAACTTAAGGTTATAGTTTCTCTTGTAGTTCTGAACTTCGAGATACACTCCAGCAATAAAAACTTGAAGCTAACACGTGACATTCTTCTCCGTTGCTTGAATGGACCTAATGTCAGCTTAACTCTTAGAAAATAATGTTCTTATTTTATGCTTTTTTTACAATTGTATCACAAATATTAAAATGCCTGTATATTCTACTTAAAAAAGGGTATAATAAAATAGATGTAATTAAAACAAAACAAAAAAACAATGAAAACATTATCTCAGCTAGTTGTTAAATCAATTAAAATGTGTGTGTTTACAAATATATACATATGTCCTAAAGAGCATTAAAAATCTTGCTAATCTATCAGCTGCTCACAATCTAGAAAGATGTTCTCTAACCATTGAACTATTCTCTAAATGTATTGATGTACTTTATTAATATTTTTTAAAACCTATTATTTTGTTTATTAATTTCTTATATTGTTTTATTTGTTATGTATTCGTTTATTAAAAAGTGTTCTGGATTTTTTTTTTTTAAATGACTACTTTATTTTTCTTTTGTTTAGGGAAGTCAACTAAGTTAATTTACTGGAGGTTACTTATTTATTCTTACTATATTTTGATTTACAATAGACATGGCTCTAGAACAAAATGTTTTCTCCATTCCAATAAGTAATCTCTAAAAATGGAAATTTTCATAAATATGTAGTTTAAAAATAACATCACTTGTCATGCTGAGTCAAACAGATTTACGCAATATTTTTCAAGTAAATGATAATTTCATTTGGTTTGTAAGGATGTGCGACCTGTTGCTTTCTCAAAAATGTATATGTTAATTTTAATTTATTTTGAGATATTAATAAATTTTACAGGCGAAGATGGAAATTATAATATCCTTGTCATCGTTGTATATTTTTATTAATTACATTTGTTTGATAATTTGGGAAGTGGTTTTCTGATTTTAATAAACAGAATTCTGTTTAAATAAAAAAGAGAGAGAGATAAGTACCTAAAAAAAAAAAAAAATGCTGAAAAAGTGTACATTTGCTATGATATACTCTATTTTAAAGAAAAGAGATAAAACTAAATGTGGTAACTACACAGGGTTATGTCCAGTTTATCTTAGAGATAGTATATAACGCAGTTTTCATATTCATAAATAAAAGGTTGCAAGTATAGTGGAAACTTGTTCTTGAAGAGCTGTAGTGTAGTGTGACTTTAGATCTAAAAGATCTAGTTACATCAACTGAATTTTTTTAGTCAAACAAATGTTAGGAAAATGTTATGGGTATAACGTAGGTGTAAATCTTTTCATTGATTTTAAACAGGCTTATGACAGTGTTAATATAAATGAATTGATAAACACAAAAAATGAATTCAGCAGAATAGAACACAACACAGTAGTGGTGACGCACCCGGATCATTGTCATGAGAATTATAATTTTACAAAGTAAAGTAGTATTTATGGAATAGTGGTCAGTTCCATGTTTTTCCATTGTCCCTTAGTCTGTAATATTTCATTCCGAAACTTCACCGTCGAAATGTGCGCCCCTCAAATATTCAAAATCCCGTCAATATATGGCCCCCTAAAAATTTTAATGGCGCAGTTCGAGCCATAAAACCGCTTTCTGGCCACATATGCTCAATCCCAATAATTCCAAAAAATATTCTTGCTTAGAATCATATATCTAAATTAAATATACCATTTTAAATAAAAAAGATTAAAATAATTGCCAAACTATTTAATCGCAAGAGCCATCTTTCCAACCATCCTTCCATCTCTCAATTACTCTACTGCAATCAAACATTGGTTTTCCCAGTTTCTTGTTCACCTTATTGTGCAGTTTACAAAGCCATTGGGAGAGTTTTTCACCTGATTCAGTTTCAGGAGGCATTGCTTTTATGCTGAAAAATATTGGCTAATAAGAGTATAATTAAAAATAATTATTATGGTTAATACATTATACCTTAACCAAATTAAATAATATAAATAAAATTAATTAAAAGTATTGGAATTTTAAATATCAGCATGCCCATCCCACACGATTTTCCTGACGTTTTTCTACAAATATAACCACCGTAAATTTGTCAATTATAAGCTTTAAGAAATGAATTAACATTACTTACTTGAGAAACTTTTTCCATCAAGTGATTCAACATTAAAAAAATACAACGTAAATATCACATGTCACACGTTTTGTATGAGGTAATAACGAGGCATAGCTTACGATTTATTTATTTAATTTTATTTATTTTTATTATTATTTATGAAATTTACAACTGTACATTTAATGTACATTCAGCAAATGTGATATAGATAAATACATGACATGACAAGGCCTGTAGAGAATTTATCCATTGGTAGCACTCTAATAAAGTTTCTAAATTAGGAGATCACGAAGCCACCTTCTTTTCAGACGCCTAGGAGAGTTATCAGGAATCCAGGAGGAAGCAAGGTTTGAAACGATAAGATTAGGATGATTCTGAAGTTTATTATGGAAGGATAGGTATCTGGATTGAATCAAATCGGAACATCAGGTCATTATGGATTATTTCATTTTTTACAAAGTAAGAAGCATTAAGGATTTTGCTTTGTAAAGATTGGATACGAGAAGAATTCGATGGTTTAGTAGAGCTCCAAAGCTCAACTCCGTAAGTCTAAATAGGTCTTATTATGGTCATTATATGAACCTTTTGTAATTAATTGAAAGGTTGGAGCATTTGTTGGAGTAAGTACTGATGTAGTCGGAAACTTCGACGATTTATTTAAAAAAAAAAAAACGGTTTCGTCGAAAACCGGCACAAAATACTTTCAAAAACTGATAATACACAAAAAAAAAAAAAAAAAAAGAAAAACAGTAAATTTGACAAGACTACACTACTTTTCTCACCTTACAGCGGTGGAAAAGTATAAGTTATGTTTTAAACGTGTGTTTTTTTTTTTTTAGCCTTTTGCGTGCCGCAATTGAACACAGTGAGCCCGAATTAGTATACAGGAATTAGGGTCCGAAACTCTACTAAACGAAAAAATAACTATCTAAATCAGTACAGCTGTTTGAGAAATAGTCGTAGCTCAGACACACAGACTAATGGCTGATATTGCGATTTTTGGAGATGGATTAGCACTGGAGGCAAGGCCTAAAAAGGGTACTCATTTTAGGTAAAATTTTGAATGTGAATTATAGAATGGAAGCATATTATCCTAAGAAAAAATAACTTTATCATTATAAATCAGATGATAACAAAAATAATTATTGTATTAAAAAATATTAAGTTCTAAACGGGAATCATATTCCAAAAATGTGGACTGTCCTGTCTTTGTCGGTTTTATTAATGATAATAAAACACCACTTAATAGAAAGGTTTGTTTTATTTTTATGCATTTAGGATCTCTCTGCCGCAAATGTGTCCAAGATTCAGAAATCCCAGCTCATGAATGGGAATAATGTACGAATAATATGCTCCTTATAAAACGCCGGTATAATAATACAAAAAAACATATATCCGAGCTCCTAAAGATGAAAAACTTTATATGTTTCCTCGAAGTTTATTGTCTAGATATAGAAGGCTCTGCAAGGTTGAAATTTAATCGTTTAATAAAACAGAAAAGAACACGCTTATAATGGATCCCATGATCAGCGCAAACGAACGATGAGAAGATTTTAAGATGTAGGCAGAGAAAGAGGAAATTTAATAAGAAATAAACACCCTACTTAAAAAGAAAAATGTAGAAATGAATTCGGAGAGAGAAAGTTCTCAATTGAGAAGCTGTGGTTTGGAAATAAAGGAACCATCCATCATACTTCAAGTTATTTCAGGCAGAAACTCGGTGTTGGAAGCAGATGGAGATTAAATGGAAGAGTTTATTATTTTAGATTCGTTGTGAATACTCCATCACCACATATAATGATCTTTGCCTTTGCATATATGATTATGTACACTGTTTTCAACATATTTGCTGTATATTAAAGTGGTTCCACTTTACTCTTGTGTTTTGGTTTTAAGTAATATCTGTTGACTGACGAGTATGCGTGATTTAGCAGATCAACAAAGTTGAGTAGCCAAGTTACAATATTGTTGTAGTTCTCTCTTATTTTTATTTTTTGTTTATGTACCCCGTAGTCGATTTCAGAATTCACCCTGAGGAGGACTGACCTAACATAAATTTTATATTATTGTATGGACCATTTAAACATAATTTAAGTGCTAATTTATTGTAAATTTTCCTTATAATAATTTATACTACGAATTTTGGTCATCTGCCCTAAATTACTCACAAGAATTACTGTTGATTGATTTACTCACTCTTCCTGAAAATCCTTAGCGCAGATGTTACAAGGATAATACTTAGCAATTATATGAAACATGCAAGCTATTTCTTCTCTTTCGATTTCAGTTGGATTTTCTGGAAAGTATGCAGCCATGCTGTGCAACAAACTCCATGTAGCAATACCTCCAAACAAAGGAAAAGTCGAAAATTCATTGGATATAATTATAAAAGAAATAATGATAACGATCTTATAGAATATTTAGTACATATTCACAAAATCAGATAAAAATAAATTAAATATTGAACTAAATTAACTTCTATTTTTTTCCATTTTAAATACTCAAAACTATATATTTCAGGGAAACAAACGCCATATTCAGAACATTGTATTACAAATAAATTGTTTCTTAGGTATTCAGACTTGTGCAACAGTTAATTTGAGATTTATGGATATAATTTTATATTCTAAAAGAGTTTTCAATAATTACACGTGTATACTTCAAATAAGTTCATTTCATTTTATGTGACCTTTCGATCTTCCATTGTCCAATATCAAATATTTTTTATTTATGTATACAATATTTAATTTTGCAACACTAGATAATTATTAGACTGGTGATGCAAATAAATTTTGATGTACTAATTTAATTATTGATAAAATATAACATGGGTGAATGTATTTGTACGAAGAATAGATGTATATCAATGTAAGTATATAGTAAGAAAAATAAGATAAATTACAGATAAGATGGCTGATAATAATAAAAATTTTGGTCAAGCTGAAATGTGCATTATATAAATTATAACTTGTTTTTCAATGCAGAAGTAGGTTGCTTGGACGCAAATCTTAAACGTACCAAATGATGAAATAAAGGCATTGGAATTAAAGGTGTGATAACTTAAAAAAATCCATAAGAATGTAAAATTAAAATAGATTTTAAGCCTTAAAGCCTTAAATATTATAACAAAATATCTCTAATCGACCTACAGGAAAATTTGAAAAATCCTGAGGAGAATGTTTGGTCGTGTAAAAGAAGGTAGGTATTCAGTACAGGCTGAAAAATAACGTATACTGGCGCCAATTTTTTCTGCAACCAGACCTGATGCAATATATAAGGCTCTCTTAAGGCTACGATGAGCAGGGCAAGTCGCAAGGACGAAAGAAGAAAGAGATGACTTCCCTGA